CTATTGTGGGAATTTTGTCGTCCTTTATCAAGAAGTTGTTTTTATTTTTGGTGAATTGACACTAGTAAGGTCGTCAGTGTAGCATTGCATGCCTTTGTTGAAGGCAAGATGACTTATTATATTTCTTGTTGAACTACCTTTCAGAACATCTTGTCAATGTAGTGCTTTATTATTGTGAATTTGGGTTGACATTGCAGATCGGTCATCATCTCATATTCATTTTGAATCCATTCCAAAGGATAAATGCTTCAACGGGGTGTGATGTTTAACCCCAATTTTTACTTCAAGGTGCAGAAATGAGGTTCTTTGGACCATTGTTGTTGATGATGTCGCTGATCACCCCTTGATGGACCTTTTTCTTGAAGTGAACAACTCCCATATGTCTAATTTGGAAGATGATCTGACAACTATATGCTTAGAAATTGTCACTAAAGATAAAAAATGGTTTTGTCTTACTATTGGACTTAACAAGATCTTGTCCATTACAATAAGAATTTATTTTTCTTTCATTTTCAAGGGAAGAGTGTAGGTATCTAATAATGATCATATAACTTACCAAGGCACTATTTTAAGAAAAGGGGTAGTTTGTGGAGCAATATCTACCCCCTCCCTTTTTTTTTTTTTAAGAACTCTTGGATGATTCTTCTCTCTCTTGCCTTGTTTCTTTTGTTGTATAGCTATTGCCACCACAACAGCTTGATTAAGACCTAAGATCAGAAAGAGACAATTAATTTACAATTGAGTAAAACCTTGAGGTATACTTCATCAACATTTGTGCATTCCACATCTGACGTTTAAACTTCACCCTGTAATGCTGCACAATTTATCCTAAGTGTTGTTTCAAACTATGCCACTTCTATTGATCTTCCAATTCACAGTGAATTACTTAAGTTATTGCTATGTTAATTCTTGATAACTAACCCATTTAGTGAACATTCCACCATAGTAAAGCATGATGACTAAGTTTCAATTATGAAAAGGTCACCTTGTCATGGTTGTCATACTTATATTATATAAGGTGAATAAATTTCTAGTTGGCTATTCCTTGTGTCTAATGTCCCGCATCGATTTTCCCATCATTCAAGTAGATTATCACCTTTGCTTCCACCTCCACCTTGAATGGCCTTGCTTTCCCTTCGTTTCCATCTGAGACAACTACATCCTTATCTTCTTTATCTCCAACTTTGCCTGCTACATATCCTTGGTGGTCATTTTTTGTATCCATGTGAGAAGGGATTATAAGCCTTGGGTCATTAGAAATTGGTGAAGTTGTAGAAAATTGCATCTTCATTCACTCTATCAATCGATTTTCTGAGGCAATTTGACTGCTTGTTTGGCTAGATTAGGAGTTTCATTTGCATCCTTTTCATTATATTTCTTACTTTTTGTTAGCACAAGGAAAGAAATGATTCTTCAATACTTTGATATATTCTCTTTGTCAATTTTATGAACTAAAAATAGTGCTATATAATACCAAATTGATCAGGTTCTAGCCTGTTAACGATATGGTGTGAATATATAATAAGAGGCTTGCACATATAGGAAATATGTATGAGAATCTCATTTGAAGGAATCCTAATGATTTGTGAATCAAAATACAGGTACCTCAGGTTTGATTTCTTGGTATATAGCAATAGATATCTCCCTCTCTTTGTTTGCACCTCTTTCTTATTAAGGATAACAAGTTTTCGCTCTATTTTAAAGTCTTCTCCACCATAAAGCAAGCCAATTGCTGAACTCGTTTGCATTTCTACAAACAACAAGTTGGATTTTTGTCTTTGCTGGCAACAAAGACAAATGATAAATTATAATTTGAATTGTTGTAAACACCAAGGCAATTTTATATTTCTATAGGGATGAACAACAAGTGGTTGGCAGTGGACTATTGGGATGATTACTTGTGACTATAGGTGGGTGGTTGTAGGTGGCAGAGGTTGCTAACAATTGATTTCCTAATTTGTCCCTGTAGGGGTTGGCGAGACTAGTATGAGAGGGAGAGAAGATAGAGAAGAATTTGGAAGAAATTGAAATGAATTCTATTATAGGAAGCAGGCCAATTTATAAGAAAAATACAAAATGAATTAATTCAAAATAGTACATATTTTATCCTAAACAAACTATATAAAAGAGAGAAGCCCCAATTTTGAAATTCTAAATACAGGTTGAATATTCAAAATTCATCCAATCTTGGGTTTGCATGCTGAATTAGGATTTTTGGACTGGCCGACCATGCTTATTATTCTATCTTTTGTATCATCATCCAATGATCAAAATTTCTTATCTCCCAAACTCGATTATCATGCTTTAGATCAATGATTCATCTCATCCATGGATTCCTCTTAAAATGATCTTCAATATCTACGATGTGATGTGGTGTGATTGAATTCAACTTCATAGCATATCTATTAAGAGATCTAATTTTTTAAGGGGGTTTGAGTTGTGGCTTTTAATGTCAATAAGAGGTACAACCTTAAAAGATTTGTTATGTCCTTCTATGATTTTTGAAGTTCAAGGAAGCGGTTGTCATCATGATGACAACTTTGAAACTGTTGGCCCAATTCTTCTAGACTGTTTTTAATAGTACAAGTGTACAACTTAGTTTTCGTTTAAAAGCTTGTAAACCCTTTAGTATATTCTACTTATTCTGGTTTTCCCTTATTTTGTATTCCCCACTTTCTTGTCTTTTACTCTTTACAGTTGTTAGCAATACTTCCTATTAAGGGCACCATCTTACACTAAACAACCAACTGTAGCTACAATAACATAGAAAAGCAAAATTAACATTTTCTGAGGAAAGTATCTTGAAGAGAAAATTGATCCACTAAATTGCAAGTATTGTAAGTGGGCAGTCTTGGACTAGTGGCTAAGTTGCCTCCATTATCACATGGAAGTAAATTTTATAATGAAGTTGTTTGTGCAATTTACTTATAATTTTTCATGATATATACTTGGAAAGCTTTTGTTTGCTTTAAACAAACAAGCCTTAACGAGCTCTGTTCGTGAACATGAACTAGACATGAGCTAAACATGAACACCATTAATTTAAATGAACCAAACATTAATGCAAATAATAAAGCTCGAATCAAACACGAACCGAACTTGAACAAGCTAATAATAAACGAACTCAAACATGAACACTCACATACTCGGCTCGGTTCGGTTCGTTTGCAGCCCTAGTCTTTAGAGTTGTTAGCAATACTTCCTATTAAGGGCACCATCTTACACAAAACAACCAACTGTAGCTACAATAACATAAAAAGCAAAATTAACATTTTTTGAGGAAAATATCTTGAAGAGAAAATTGATCCACTAAATTGCAAGTATTGTAAGTGGGTAGTCTTGGACTAGTGGCTAAGTTGCCTCCATTATCACAAGGAAGTAAATTTTATAATGAAATTGTTTGTGGAATTTACCTATAATTTTTCATGATATATATACTTGGAAAGCTTTTGTTTTTGTGGCATATCGCATGTGGAATATATCTGTTTCATTAAGATTACATTTACCTGTAGATATACCAAGAATACTGGGCTCAGATACCATCTATGTTGAAAAGCCAAATTCAAGTAATCATCGTTCAACAAACTGTTGATGTTACAGCAATGATTCTGTATATTGTTCGTAGTTGTCATGTTTTTATAGTGCTCTCAATATTAATTAAGAATGCACATCAGCTGGTTGCATGCTAGGTGCCTTCTAGTTGAGCCTTGTAAAAGGAGTAGCTATAGGCAAGGACAAGTTCTCTTAGGTAACTGGTGCATTTCTTCTCGATTTGGCTTTTTGAAGAATGTAGTAATTTGTGCATTTCTTCCTTGTTGGTTTTTGTGAAGGTTGTAGTTTTTAGATATAGAATTCTTGAATGAAAGTAATATGTAATATGTTTAATGGGTAAATTAGTCAATTTCTATTTTGTTATGAGTTCATATTTTGACGTGAACAGGCCATTTCCATAGAATTGTTACAGTTAGCATCAAACAACAAATTGAAATAAGGAAATATAGAGGTAATTTTGATTTAAGCCTCTTTATTTATACCATATTCTATTTATTATTGCATTTTGTTGCATACAAGAAGGTTAAAAATTTACTTGCTTATGTAATCCGGTTTGATTCTGTTTTAAAATCTCTGTAATGTATTAAGTATTTACATCATGTTGATAAATCATATGGCTTAAGCTCTTGAACTGTATATTAGATCCAATCGAACTGAGTTGAAGGTCGACCTTCATGTTTTTTCGCTGGGTTTTTGTGCTTTTAATATTTTTTCTCTATCTTGAATGATACAGATCACTTGATCTTCACCTCCCTTACTGATATTAGTATTTTTTTCTTTTTTTCTTTTATGATGCTATACATTATTTTTCTAATTTCATTGGAAATGATTTGCTAGGTTGTTTTTTTTTTCTGTCAAATTATTGCCAAGAAAACAGGAAGTGGAGAAGGGTAAGCAATTTTTTTCTTAAATGAATAAAAATAGTTGAAATAATGGTTAATTGAGACGAAGTTTTACTATTCTCATACAACTTAAAGTTTTATATTATATGAGTTGCATGCTAGATTTACCAAGTTCTGGGGAAGTAAGCTTCTTTAGCTTTTAATAAACATCCTTAAAAAGTAGTGGTGAAGATGTTGACAATTATGCATCTAGCCGTAGCAATGCAAACTTGCTCATTTTCATCTTGCTGCTCGTTGTTAAATTTGAATGCTGCTTGTAAAAGTAGTTGTGCAAGCTGACCTAGGTGAATAAAGTGATTAGTAACTCTCACCTATGCCAAAATTTCACAACACATATATTAAAGTTACAATCTCCATGACCGTTTGAAACATTTTATTTGCTATCATTTTCAAGTTTGGTACTAGATCATTTAGGAATTTTACTGGCCATAATTATATGATATAAAAAATTGTTTGTGCTATTTTCTTCATTTAAAATGGAAACTGCTCCTGCAGGTTTATTATTATTTTTTAAACTCACTTTCCTGTTCATTGCCAATAATGTAGGAAAAGTTCAAGAATAAGCCCTGGGTTTTGGAGGATGAAACTGGCCAGCATCAGTATCAAGGTCAACTTGAAGGGTCGCAATTTGCTACCTATTATTTGCTTGTGATGCATGGGAAGGAGTTTGTAGCAATACCTGCATGTTCTTGGTAAGCATGCACCGATAAAATTAACTTCATAAGGTTATATGTGACCATATCTGCATTTCCTAGAGAGATGGTGGTGGTAGTTTGACCTATTGAGGGTACAAATAATGTGGGTAGATGTCATTAATGTTGAAGGAATAGCAAAGAAATGGATTGACCAAGTTAACATGGCTATCCAAAAAGACTTCTCTTAAATTAAATTTAACACTTCATGTAGCTGTCGACTTAATGAATGGAGAAGAAATAAAGCTAGCTGCAAATAGTTGTGATGATGATTGTGTTCTGACTTTGTTTGACTTGCTTGGTTGTATCAATGAAATTTGGATTTTATATTTTAAAAATGAATGCACTCAACTTGGAAATATTTCATAATTTCTTATTAGTGTATTTTTGCATTTAGTTACCATATAAGATTCCATTTGCCATTTGCTTTTTAAAAAAACAATGGACAACAATTATTTATTGCAGGTACAACTTTAACAAAGTTGCTCAATACAAGCAATTGACCTTGGAAGAAGCTGAAGAGAAGATGAACAAGAGAAAACATAATGCTACTGGTTATGAAAGATGGATGATGAAAGCAGCAGCTACTGGAGCTGCAGCTTTTGGTGAAATAAATAAATCTGAGGGCTTTGGTAGTGGTGGTGGTGCTGAGGGGTTTCGGCCTAAGAAGGTAAAAGGTGAGGAGAATGGCGATCATTCTGATAGAGGCGAGGAAAATGAGCAAGAAGAAGAATCAAGGAAGACTAGGCTTGGGCTCCACAGAAAGGGTGGAGATGATGATGAGGATGGTGGAAAAGGGGACGATATGGATGATGATGACATTGAAAAAGGTATATCTTGCATCAATTTTGTTTCTTTTTTTTTCTTCATTCCATTTCATTTATTGACTTGCTTCATAATGTTGGTTTTTGCTTAGCTGAAGGGAAAAAAATAAACAAAAATGGCAGTGTATTTTCAAATGTTTTTGTTTCATTGACAAAAACTGTGATTTGATTTATTTCTGAGTTTTGCAGTCCTAACAAGAACATTTGCTAGCTCATAGTTCCATGAAGTTCATTTCAATCTCTAATTGACTTCAAATAACTATTACAATCATTTTGTAGTAATCCAAGCAACTTTTGACCATCATATACTCGAATGAAGTAAAATAAGTTTAAGTTTTCGTAGGCTATGGAAATTGAATTACTATGTATTACTGAAATATTGTCCTACGTTGAAGTATCATAGTGAGGCCTAACATTTTGACATTACTTGGCCAAGGAGGCATACTTTGTGGATTTGTTTTAATTTGGCTAAGTAATGATAAGTTGATAACCAAGAGTCTATGATTGAAATCAGTCTGAATCAATATTATCAAAAGCGAGTAGAGTATTCACGTAGACGCCTGAATGAGGTGGCTTGAGGTTTCATTATCTCAAATACCTTCTAGGCTGGCCTTATAACTAAGGCACCACCTTAGCAAGCGTCTTTGTGTAATGTGCTATAAGCACTTGGGTGCTCATCATGAAATTGTGTTATTTAAGCTATTAACTTGGTTTTTTTCTTTCCTTTTTTAAATTTGAAACATAATTTTGGGCATTATGGACACTTTTAGACATCTATTTGATAAAGTTATCATTTTGGTACTTTTAATGACAAAAATTGAAAATTATCTTTTTGTCAACTATATTTTAATATTTTATTATACTAATTATTATATTTATTAGATATTGGTCCTAGATTTAAGTTTGTAGCTTGTTGTGTAGCATTTATGTCTATAAATAGAGGCTCTATAGGTTGTAATAGTATGATTTAGAAATACAAATTTCATTTCCTGCTCTCTCCCTCTCCCTTCCCTCTCCCCCTCCTCATCTCCCATGAAGCTCATGAAGGAAGGGCTTCTTCCTTGATCAAGATCCTAACATCTGGTTATCAACTTGGTAGAGGCAACCGAGCTTTGTTATTAACGTTAATTTGTTATTACCTTATGTGATTTAGTTTAATATATACTAAGCTAAACTTATGTTAATCATATCTATATTCTAAGGGATGAGGAGTCTATAAATAAATGTTCTGAAATAATAATTAAACAACTTTGGCTTAATAAAATTATCTTTCTAGTTTTCAATCTTTTGTATACAATTTGATGTGTGATTTGTTTTAGTGTGGTATAGATGTGATTACCTACTTTCAGAAAAAAAAAAATCATCTTGTGCTGGCAAGAGGCCTGATTTTTCTTATTTTATTACTTTATTTCTTGTTTTTACTTCTTCTGTATAGTTTTCTATTGACTTGTTAGCGCTCTTGATTTTATTCAAATTTGACATAATTAAAATAAAATTTGTGAAAACTAAATTACAATTACTTGTTGATTTTAAATGATCCTAAATAATTTTTTATTTCTTTGATTCGATATAAGTTCGTTGTCATTTGTATTATAATTCTATTATTGATTGTTTATATTTTAAAAAATAAGTTATTAAATTAATTGGTGGTTTGTGAACCATAAATTCTGAAGTTCCTTTCCATGAATTCATTATATGCATCATATTAGTTGCCTTCGGAAAACTTAAACCTAGGTTAAGTTGCCCTGCATCACTTGCATTTTGAACATTGTTTTTTATGAATATTTTTACGTAATCCTGTAAAAATTCTTGTTATAAACATTTTGTGTATGACAAGTTTGCTCAGCAATTTTTTTAATCATTAATTGTACTTAAAATCATTGGCTTCTCGCTTCGTAAACCATTCCAATTTGGAATTTAACTTCACTGGATTCCACTTAAAGGTTGAAACGCTATTTTGAATTCATCTCTTCTCCTAGGTGATGATTGGGAGCATGAAGAAATATTTACTGATGATGATGAAGCTGTTGGAAATGATCCAGAAGAACGGGAAGATCTGGCTCCTGAAATTCCTGCTCCTCCTGAAATTAAGCAGGTTTTGTAAAGAAATATCTTGATAGTTATTTTAGTTAATTATGCAGCCGTTATCTCCATCGCTCTCTTGATCTTTGCTCACAACTATATAAAAATTATTAGTAGAATGTTTTGCAATTGCATTATTTATAATGTTTGGTACCTGCTGATATAGTTGCACTGGGCTACTCTGCCAATTTTCTTGTTTCCTTTTTGCCTAGAAATTAGAACCGTTGTCCTTATGAAATAAACCCAACAACTCTTAACTAATCAGCATATCTACATTTTGTTACTACTGTCAAATAAGGTTATTTCGATATGACAATGTGATTGTGGTATAGCATATTTCCCTCCTGTCAATGGCAAAGTTTTTTGCATTTTAGTTAATACTTGAAACTTTATTGCCTTTTAGTTTCATTTGAAGCCTAAACAACTCAAATATTTTATCTAATGGGATGGCATGGTCAATAAGAAATTCTTCAGAGATTCGTGGGCTCCAGTAAAAGCTCATATAAAATATGAGGACTAATGTTCTAATATATGTTTTTTTGTTATATTTCAAATTGAAACTGTTAGTTATAAACCACGAATGATCAATCCATTTACATATTTTTCATCATTATTCCTAAATCAAGTAGATTTTTATACATTAATGTAACAAAAAAAAAAAAGTTTAACAAGTTTATTTTTAGGATTTATAATTGTAACTTGATCTATACTAAGGTAAATCATTCTATCTCTATCTCAATTTTGTGAAATTTGAGGTTTTTCATTGTAATTTTGTTTTCCGTAGTTTCCAAATTTTCATGTTGTGGCAACAAAAATTTGAAGATCAAGTGAAAATTGGAACAATGAAAGAAATATTTTAAATATATAAGATTTTTAATAAATATGAATATATGATATATAATTATAATGAATATGATGTTAAATTGTTAATAATTATTATCTAATGTTCTTTCTCTATATGTATCTGGAAGGGTTTTACCATACTATGACAAATTTTTTTGTCCTGTTGCTATGTCTTTTTCTGTTTGAAGGGACTTTCCAATATCAGAAGAAGGCGAGCATCAGATATTGCTGAATCACTTATTTTGAGAATTACCATCAACAAGTTCGATACGCGTGAAACTTGAAGATGATGAATGTGATAATAAAAATGATTTAAATGTGATACACGTTGGATATGATGCTATTGCTGTTATGTTTTATAGCAGTAACATAACATGGCTACCTGGAAGTACTACATCCAGAAAGATAACATATGTAAAGTTTGCTTATTTATTTTCCAAATATGTCGGTTTAAATTGTTATGTGTTTATGTTCGAACCCTGACTTAGCTTTGACCAGGGATGGGTAAAATAATATTACCCCAACTAGAATTGCACTCCCACACACTGCCCTTACCTGCCCATCACCGAAGCAACCATGTATTTATCTTGCTGAGACTTATAGACCTCTACTTTAACGTACTAAATGGAGCCTAAGCTGTACTTTCTGTGAAAACAAATTAGTAACCTAAGCTCTACACATGCAACCTTTCCCAGCACTTGTAAGAACAGATTGAATTAACTAACTTCAATCATTTCCCTATTTGCTCTCTGGATCAAACATGTTAGTTATTTTGTAGTTGTTATCAGGATGAAGATGATGAAATTGAAGGTGAAGAAGGTGGGCTGAGTAAATCTGGGAAGGAATTGAAGAAGTTACTTGGCAAAGCTGCCGGGCTTAATGAATCTGATGCTGAAGAAGAAGACGATGATGATGATGTGAGCTCTCATATTCATTGAAAATTTTAAAATTTTCCATATGCTGCACGCTTTTATACGTGCTAGAGGAAACCAATCTACGGTACCCTTCACATGTAGAACTGCATGTTGGATGGTTATGAATATTCCAGATGTGTGTTGATGTTCAAATTTAACTCCGGCAGATGGATGATGAGACTACAATTTCTCCGGTGCTTGCCCCAAAACAAAAGGATGCACCAAAAGATGAACCTGCTGACAACAGTCCTGCAAAACCAGCATCTGGATCTGCTCGAGGGACACCATCTAGCTCCAAATCATCTAAGTCAAAGAAAAAGACGGGGAATGATGATGGGAAGCCTGGTGCAAGTACACCGGCAAAGAAGGTAATCTTTTGTCAAGTTACTTTGTTGCTTCATAGCTTCATATCAAATATATTCTCAATGGTCCTAATATAAAAATTTGAACTTTTTTCTTAGGAAACTAAAACATCATCTATCAAGGAGGAGTCGCCCTCTACCATTCAAGTTGGTGCATCTTCAAGAGGTTTATCTTCTGCAGCTGCAAGAGCAACACCAACACCTAGTGGCCCTGTTACAGAGGATGAAATTAGGTCTGTTCTATTAGCGATGGCTCCAGTCACAACACAGGACCTGGTTGCTAATTTCAAGGGAAGAATTAAATTGAAAGAGGTGGGTTGCTAATTTGCATGAATCATATTACGCATATCTTTATTTCAAAATTTTTACCAGATTATATTACCATTTTGACGTTTAAGGCTTAAATTTGGAATAGCAGTAGTAGATATGCATCAAACCTCAGCTTCGAGGACACACTCTTTTAAAAATAATACATGTCCGATTATTCAGATATGAAGAAAAGACTTAATCTGTTTTTGGCATGTTCCCAATTGCCTTCCTTTCCAGCTGCCTAGGACATTAATCTGTTGGTTTCATTTAAGCGGGTGATATCTGCTTCTAGTTTTACTAATTTTGTTATTAAAGTTGGTCAGTTTCATCGTAATTTCAAATTTTAAATATTGCTCATAATGATGCAGGATTAGACTAAATTAAGCAGATTTATGTATGCGTACCCTAGAAGACACTAAGCACTATGAAAAACGCTAGGTTGCAATCTAAAACAACTGTTATGCAGGGAAAGACTAATGGCATATTTGGTATTGTTTTTATTATTATTATTATTGTTTTTGGAGAAAACACAAAATACATTTGGTATGTGAAATATAAATAGAAACATAACTCTTTATCTGTGTTGCAAATAGAAATTTTGTTTATACTATAAACAAGGTGGATAGAATACAATTTAGAAAGTAATATTTTATATAGCCACGTATTTTGGTGCATTTCATACACTCGTTTTATTCTTGCCATTGAATTTCACTAAATTTTCATGAACGGCATATTCCCTCCATGAAATATTTAATATTCTTAATTTTGTGTATGAGAGGGCTCCATTGGAACCACCTTTTCCAAATTAGGCATTTCGGTTAGATTAATTTTTATGCATATATTTGACTTCGTCATTGGGATTTGGCACAAATGATGCTTATGGTAATCATTGAATATATATTTGAATCATGCTTTTGCTTGAAGTTGAATTCTGTGTACTTAGTATTTTTTTAGAGGAAACTTAACAATTTTATTTTTAAAACGACCTAAATCCCCAAGATAGCTTCCTCTCTTTTTCATCGTTGTTGTGACTGCACACTCTGTTGATCCCATCGATTGTCTTACCTAATGAGACCTTGTTGCAACTTCCTCACTTCTTCTTCCATCTGCATGAGATGGGGTTAACACAGCAGAAGATTAAATAAATATTAAGGTTTTAGTGTTAAATATATAAGTAAAATTGTTTTGAGTGCAATATATACAGATTCCCCTTTTTTTGTTTTTTTTTTTTTTAATGTATAAAAACATATTTTGTATCTTGTTAAGTATTAGTTCTTTTTGCTTTTGGCAAGGTGGCGGTGTTTGGCGGTCGATAGTATGCCCGGGGTGGTTTTCATTCTGAAAATAGTGAGAAGATAGGCGGAAATTTTTTCATTATTTTAAAAAATAACTTGATTTGTTTCCAAAAAAATTGTAATATAAAAACAATTGAAAAACACTAACCAAAAGTTTCAAAAAAAAAAAAAAAAAGATCCCAAACAGTTTTGAGCATGTCAATGAATACTTTGCTATGGATCAGGATACACAGCTGTGTGCAAACCTATTTAGCTTAAGTTATTTTGATGGGAGCCCATTTTCTTCATTATTATCTTGTTGATACAACAGACATGGAAAATTCCTCCTGCGTTCTCTTCCACCCATGTTTTATTTTAATTTCTAGTTTGATTTTGTGCTGTAATGGTGAATTGTGATGATGATGATGATACCGTGCTGTAACATTTTTTTATTGCTACTGAAGTCTATATTCATCTCTGATGAAGGCAATTCTTAAATGTTCCCTTTGACCATGAGGGTCCTATTTCTCGATAATTTACTACGAATTTTTTGGCAGACATTTCATTTGCCTTTTTTACCCTGCATTAAGGGAATAAAGCACTTCCTTTTTTTTCGTGTATTATATTTTTCACTGTTCTTTATCGAATTTGCTAATCTTTGTCAATGATCTGCTTAGATTTTCTTAAGTGATCACTTTGACTTTATTTCATTCCTACAACCTTATCATTTTTGAAATTGGAGAGTGCCGGTTTTATGAAAAAAAATAGTCATACTCTACTCAATTTTGCTTTATATGTAAAAGAGTTATTAATCATATTTTATAAAGCCTTTTTGCGCAACTTTTGTTCTGTTACCTTAGTTGTAACTCTTCTCTTTCTTGTCCTTCCTCATTAATTCTACTAATTCACTTTAGTGATTCATCTTATGGCTTCTAGCATAGGTTTAATAGTTGGTTGCTAACCTTACGTTCATCCTCAACCTTTTTTATTCAAGCTTAGGACCAATAAAGGCATTTCAAACATGATCATGTTGTTGATTTTTATCGCAATGTAAATGCTACTCATGCATTGAGTTTCAATAGTGTTCATAATGATTTACTTTTGCATCGAGCATCTATTAAAACATGGGATGATTTGATGATATATAAAAGTCTAAAAGAAAACCACATTATAGAAATTTATTTTCACCCATGTAATTTATCAAGCTATAACTGTTGAATGAGATTAATAATGCACATGATTCATTAATTAAATTCAAGTTATTTGAAAGACTTCAGCTCTGAAAATCACCCGTTTCTCTTGCAATAAAAATCATTTATAAAAAAATTCTAATGCATCAGATGAAACATACACATTCACTCATCTTATATTATTTCTGTATCCTTATTACCAACAAGTATTCCATCATGAATGTTCTGAAAAAATGCTTGTGCTGCTAGTTTCCTCTCCTTGTTTGTCCAACAATGGCTTCTGCTATAATTATTTTGAAATATTCATTTTGTTATTATTATATTTATCTTTTATTCGTTTTTATTGTCCCCTATATATCTAATCTTACTCATTTTTATTCTGCAGGATAAAGCTGCTTTTGCAGATATTCTTAAGAGAATATCCAAAATTCAGAAGACTAACGGTCTAAACTACGTCGTGTTGAGATAAGCTAAATTTTGTTCTGAAGTCTTCTTTGCTCATATTTTCCTGAACTTTATTTTGTTATGTAAAACCAACCCCTTTGTGTTGAATGAGATTAATGATTATGATGATCTGTTCAGTGTTAAATTGTGAGAGGTTGTCATATTTATGAGAAAGAAGATTGTAAATAAATTCAGATTGGGGAAAATTTGCATATCTTCAATTGATTTATGATGGGTTTTATAGTCATTTTAAATAATTAAAATTTATATTACACACATTTTAATGTAAATTTAATTGTTATTAAAGTCATCTTGATCAAATTTAACTATGAATGTTGTGACCTAGTTATTTTTTTCCCAGCGAGGGTGGTGAATGCTTGCAATTGGATTTAATGGATAAGTTTACCAGTAAAAGAATTATAATATTGTCGAATTAGGGGTGTAAAAGAGTTGAGTTGAGTGTTTGTTTAATTAAGCTAAGTTTGTTTAGTTCTTATCGAGCTCAACCTCGAGCTCGTTTATTAAGTTCAACCTTCACTCATTAAAAAATGTATAGGCTCGCTTGCTTGAGCTCATTTGGAAATATCGAGTTAGACTCGATTGTTGAGCTCGTAGCTCAGTAAGCTTGACTTGCAAGATAAAAACTATATCTATTAATTGACAATAGCAAGATAAAAAACTAAGCAATGAATCAAAACTATTGAATCAAAGAATAGAGAATGGATTAGTTTAGGAAGAACAAAAATTATAGCCTTAAAGTTCTAACTAATAGTACAAGATTAGCTGGTGGCTGTTCCTTTGGGAATGGGGATCTAGAACTTTGCTACCATCTTTATCTTCATATAGCAGCTGTTGCCTTTAAATTTAGATTGATTATGTAATCTTTGTCTAATCTGTCGCCTGGTTATGTCAGATCTGATGCTATCTAACTTAGTAGATATTAACTATAAAAAATTGAAATTATTAATAAAACTTAAGCTTTGCTTAATTATATAATTTTTTTTTATATTTGGGCACTCACATCTAAAAATTAAACAAATTGTACCTTCTGAAAGTGCTGCAGAGGCACACACTTTCATGTTTCGAGAGGCTCCATTTCAGCTCTGAATCCTTCTTTTTTTTATTTTTTGGGACATTTAGGCCATTTAAGATAAACTCATACACACAATGCATACACATGGACTCGAACCTTGAATCTCTTAGTTGGAAAGCCTAAGCTCTCAACCAATAGACCAAGGGGAGTTGTGTCTGAATCCTTCTTGGAGTTGCAGAATCTTAATAAATTGATATTTACTTAAATTTGTTAAGGAACACAGCTCTTTTTATATGTTGATAAGGTGTTTTGGCTGTCAATTAAAAGATTTTGAATTCAAGTGTAAGTAAAAAAAGATTTTAAAATGATGATTCTAATCCTTTAGTTTTCAAAAAGTAGTTAAGGGGCTAGGAATCAAGCTATTTTTTATCATTAATGTAAGAGATTATATATTACTATCTATTTGATACATTTATCCGTTCACCTAACGCCTAATTAAAATTAAGGGATTAAAAAAGAATAAAAAAAATAAATGTTTGTGTGCGCATTCGTGTGTGTATCATCTTAAATTTGTGTGAAGAGTATGAGTGCACATGTTGAAAGTAGCATGGACCACCAAGCTTCCCTCTTTGCACTGAGAGATTATTATGTGCGGTCTCCGTGTGTGTATCATCTTAAATTTGTGTGAAGAGTATCAGTACACATGTTGAAAGTAGCATGGATCACCAAGCTTCCCTCTTTGCACTAAGAGATTATTATGTGCGGACTCCGAATGCAGTTCATCATCGGAGACTAACCAAAATGCGACACGTCAGCGGTACCGAGCTGCAGTACCGAGATAGGTACCGAGCTGGGAGTGATATGGCACAGTTTGGTTGGCCTCCGGACGACGTTCGATGTTCACACAGAATAATTTCACCTTTGCACCCTCCCTTCTTCTTCACTAGGGAACCCCACAACGGATTGATTTCCTCATATATAGCCACCAAGCTTCCCTCGTTGCATCATTCTTTCTTCTTCAACCGAAAATTAATAACACAAAAGCCTCCTACTTGTCCCCTTCCTCCTTGATCACAAGCAACCATTGAAAAGCTCTTACTACTTGTCTTTTTTCCTTCAAACAGTGAGCCTTCGCATTTTTCTTTTTTTTTTCTCTCTCTTTTCTCTATCTTCCTCTACTTTCTTATCATCTCCTTCTTCGTTATCCCTTTAGGACATCATAGTTTCATTTTCCCCACTCGATTTGGTAAAATAAGCTTACTTTTATAATTCATAGTAGTTTGATTATTATTTAGTTATTTTATAATCTAGGATTATTATGTTTATATTTTATTTAGTTATTGGCGTTTATGTGTTTAGTTACATTTAATCATAAATTTATGATTGCTTTTGTTTATTTTAAGGTTAAATTCTATGATTAACTTCAAAGATTGTAAAGATATCTTTTATGATAGTTAGGAAGGAATTTTTGCCTAGATGCATTGCTGGATAAATTCATGTACATTGAATTATTTTATATAGTTTTAAGACCGTTTTTTCACGCACATTACATATATTAAATATAAAAAGTTTTAAATTTATGATTGCTTTTGTTTATTTTAAGGTTAAATTCTATGATTAACTTCAAAGATTGTAAAGATATCTTTTATGATAGTTAGGAAGGAATTTTTGCCTAGATGCATTGCTGGATAAATTCATGTACATTGAATTATTTTATATAGTTTTAAGACCGTTTTTTCACGCACATTACATATATTAAATATAAAAAGAATCACAGGACATTTTAAAACTTAATAAATAGATAGAGAGAGAGAGATGAACATGTTTAATAAGATTATTAATTTCTTTTTACAAACAAGTTTATTCAATCTTTTTTTTTTTTTTTTTTCATTTGTTTAATTTTTTTGTGGTTCTTGTCTTCGAATGTAACTCATGGATCAATGGATCATGACAGTTGCGATCTTTCTTACAATGCTCGAAACCCTAGATCACATCTTGCTGTTTTTTTTTTTTTCAATTTTTTTGGGACTTATTTCGGTTTTTTTTCAATGGTTTCTCTCATGGGATTGTATTAAAATCAAAATTGTATATCATTATGGTAGATTGACAGTTTGCATCTTTAGATCAAAGCTTTCATTTTCCTATTAATTTGTCCTTCAGAGTCTTGAGCTTGGGAAATTAATTTTGTTTTGAAGAAATTATGTCCACAACAATTTGGTATAAAATTATATAAGTGCACGAGTTTCTTGTTGTACCACTACATTCTATGTTTTGACTTTGCCGGAAAGTCAGAATTGGGAATATTTTATTCTGAATGCAATTTATGTTGTACTGGAAATTGGGATGTTATGTTATATTTGTTATGTTCATTGTGATTTGTAAATGTTATGTTATAAATTGAGATGTTATATTAAACATTAGTTGGGCTCTGTTTATTGCAGTTTGTAAATGTTATGTTATTCCGACAATTCAAAACATTTTCTTATGAAGGCAATGCGCATTATTTTGTTTAAACTTTTTTGAGTTTGGGCTATGTTTATGTTAAGTTTTATAAATCTAATTAAGCTTGTTTTATTTGTAGAGTTGATTAAGATGCTCGTTCATTAAAAGTAATGTTTATGAGCTTGATAAGGATCGTTCGTTAAGAGTTTGATAAGGCTTGTCCGTTAAGAGCTCGTTAAGACTTGTTCGTTAAAAGCTCGCCAAGGGTCATTCATTTAGAGTTTGATAAGGCTCGTTTGGTCATTTATAAATGAATCGAATATGAACCGAACACAAACCAAATTTGAATATGTATTATTTTAAATGAACCAAAATTGAACCCAAACAAAAAGCTCGAACTGAGCTTGAACAAGCTCTTATAAAATGAGCTCAAACATGAACACATATATACTCGGCTCAACTCAGTTCTTTTGCAGTTCTAATGGTATTCTACATAGGCATAAATGTAAGTATTAGGTAAGCCTTGTTAAGACAGTTTGCTATAAGAAATAAAGTAATGTAATCGATAATACTAATGATTTATGAATTGTCAATTTGTATCTTTTAAATGCTTATATAATATGAAAATTTTGCGCATACTTATAACATATTGTTAAGATAATTTTACCTATTTAATGTTTGTCCATATGATCACATTTTTGTACCTAAATTTTTTACTTGTAACTTCTTTAATTACTTATTGCACTTTTTCCTAAAAATAAAAACATATTATCTCTATCGATTAAATATGTCTTTTGAAATAACAACAATAAAATGTGGGTGAGCTCCTCAATTTAACTCGCATCGAATCCAAAAAAGTTGAAGTGAATGACAACACTCAAGCAAGAAAGACAATATATATTTTTTAAGAGTAAATAAAACCTAAATAAAATAATGAGATAATTTCAAAAAAAAAAAAAGCTAGTAATGTTATTTGACTAGATCATACAATATAATTACCATCAACTAAGAATATATTTAATTATTCATACAAAATACATGATTATCATTCCTCACAATTTCATACATTTAGCAAATGCATAAAAATCACAAGAACAAGTAATAGTGCATAGAAGTAAAAATCAAGAGAAAGAAAGGTGAAAGCCAATTTTATATGATTTTGTACTGATACTTATGCCACAACTTTTTCCCTTCAACTCAATGTTTCACTCACCTCTCATTCGGTCACCAATGGGAGGAGAATCTCCTCTCCTTGACTGATAATGGAGAAACACTAGATCCTCGTTTACTCAATTCGAAAAGATTGTTACTATAGCATACCAACTAGCCAAAATTGCATCAAAGAAAGCTTTAAGATCTCAAGAATCTCTTATAATTTTTAGAATGATAAGCTCTCAATAAGCCTTATAGCTCAATTGGAGGATTAAAGTGAAAGAGAGAAAAAAAAACCTCATAAGTGCACTCTCATGAATGAGATATCACTTTTAGGATTTTTAAATCAAAAGCAAAGAGATCTCTCCTAAAATAACTCCTCTAGCTTTCTTTCTCTTGGGTTTAGGGTTTGCATACTAATATTTATATTAAGTGTTAAAAAATTATGTTCTATTCAATCATCATATATGATACATATCATACAGTATGATTAGTTCAATTTAATATGCATTAATTGGCCAATTAATTACCACAACTTAGTTAGATTAAATTATATATATTGCAACTCTTGAACATGACTATTGTAGCTCTCATCTAACTTGTCTTTCGCTCATCCTGAAACTTTGAGGCATTGAATTTTGATCTTGATGTTTCTGCTTGACTTATGATCATTGCCTTAATTTTTGTATGTTTAAGATTTGTGCATCACTCTTGTGTCTTGACTATTGCATTTACACTTGCCATTTGTTGGTACTAAACATGCATAACAAAAGATACGGTATAACTAGGACAATTTTGCGCATTACTATTGATAAAAATAAAATATTGAATAAGATAAAACCATTTTAATCATCAATACGACAATTAGAACTCTTTGTTTAAATCACTAGCAAAGAAACAACCCAAAACTAAAATATGCCAAAGCCTCACGATATTTATGAACAAATTTTTGTCTTGATTGTTTATTAAAACTCAATTTTGTTTTAGTGAACTCTAAATAAGTGGCAAGTCACACAATTGTAAGAGAAACTAATAGGTGTTGATAATGTACACGTCTCTTCATGCACTTAATGAGAGCTGTTGTGTGTTAGAAAATTTGAGTCGGTAGAGCGTGTGTTTTGTATCTTAGCATTATACAAATATTTAATATGTACAGATGAATGTAGTAGGACCAGATAATTGTTTACATGGAAAACTCGAAATTGGAAAAATTCATAGGGTATGGCCTAGTTGTAAAATCCATTATAGAGCAAGTGATACGAAGATCCTTCCTTCTTCACTGTTGAAGAAGAGAGAAATTACAAAAATCAAGCGTCACAAGGGAACAATCTATACCCAATAGTATGGTTTGATTTCTCTAATTGGGATTATAGAAAGTAGATGTTTACAGGCAAACAAATATATCTAACAGTGGGGTCAAATCTTGTTAGTATTTTAGAGATGGTGGTAATTTTTTATGGTGGTCAGTGATGGCAATGATGGTTGTCGGGGGCAATAGCTGGTGGTGTTGGCGGGGAAATGCAAGAGTTTTCTCTATAGCTCTCTTTTTCCTCCACCCTCTCCCCTCATGTGAAGAATGAAAGCCTATTTATAGGCTTTTTGGGAGTGGCATGCCTCGTAAATATAGAGAAAATCGAAGTATTTCATCAAACGGTTTGTAATGATTCCTTCAATCATAGAGCTTTCCCCAAGCATTTAAATGCCCTAATGATGTCATAATTAAGTGATCTTGGGCTCGTTGATTTGTCTCGCTTAGCAACTCGATTCGACTATAAGCATGTCATATTTTGAGATTATTTGGTTACCCGATCAATGCTTTGAGGTTTTCAAATATACATTAGTCCCTTGGTTCGAGCCCATTTGAACTCGGTTTGGGCTGATTTTGATATCATTGGGTTCGTATTATCGAGACGTTCAATTTGACTATAAGATTGTTGAGATCGAATTTTGGATGGTCCCAAATTTAGTTTTGAAAGTTTCCAGTTCAAATATGCCTCGAGATTAGTGTCTGATCAAAGTCATTTTTTTCATATGATTAGCAACGTACACAACTATGTACCTTTTTTTTTTTGAGCAAGTTATGGGATTCAAGCTTGAGTGGGAGGGAGGAATAAACTTCTTTTAACCATTGCACCACACACTCGAATTCTCAACTATGTACTTTATACTCCACCATAACTCACCTTGTACATTTTTTAAACCTAATAATTCCTCCTTTAATGGAGTATAGTCTTACTCGATTCTTCTTCCTAAAAATAATTAATATGATTGAAAATTTTAATCAACAAATTATACCTCTAATTTTAGGTAAGCCTATCTGAAAAACTATCATTATATGCCTCTTAATATACATATATAATCAATTTTTTTATTATATATTTATTTGAAAAAATATATCAAAAAATCATTTTAAATTAAATTATCTCAAATAAAAAATAACATCCTATACTCACATACTAGTTACTTCAATGCCTTCCATAGGGCAAATTATTGTGTCCGGTGTCCGGATTCGTTCGGACACCAATCCGGTGTCGTCACATCACCAAAATGCACCGGGACCCAGTGTATTTGGGTGACGTGGCGTCACCGGATTGGATTTCCGGACATCCGGTGACCGGACGCAATAATTCGCCCTTCCATAGAGCATATACAAGAGCAACCACAACAACATCAAGCCTTTTATCCCACAAGATAGGATTAGCTGTTCTAGGATGCTTCAAGATTCGTATTTCATATAAGAAAATTATCCTCAATCATTTATGATCTTTTTGTAATCCTAATAATAAAATAAAATTGCAGTAAGGGAAGCAAAAAAATGATCACTATTTGCTCACAACAAATTGATATTAACACGACAAACAAAATAATAACAATAATCAAATAATCAAATAACCTATTTCCACATAATGCCACAAAGTAATAATTAAAGGGAAGATCCGAAGATGGAACAAAATTCCGGCAACCGGTCTAGGAAATCTCCGGTCCGACCGAACCGGGTCAGCCAACCTCAAACCCGCCACTCAGGACACTGGTTCACCGGCCTGGTCTTCTGCCTCCCGGCTTTAAGTGGGCACGGCGCGTCGACCGGCGGGACCATGCAGTTGTATTGGAGACAGAGAGAGGTCGTCATCGGAATCTCCGCCGCCGGCGACATCTGCATTCCGCTGAGAAAATTGTGTTGCAAATAGAGAACTTCCATTCCGGCCGCCTCCAATCTCTCCGCAAACCTCGCGGGTAGTTCCCCCGTGAAGCGGTTGTTGTTTAAATACAATCTACCCACTGCCGCCAGCAACGGCGACACGGCCCCTGAGAGGCGATTGTAGCTTAAATCCACCTCCGGTATCTTCACATCGGTTGGGGGCACCACTGCGCCGGCGAACTTGTTCCGTTGTAGGCGGAGGGATGAAAGTGGGAGGTTAAAGATGGTCGCAGGGATGGGGCCGGTGAAGATGTTCATACTAAGGTCGAGGTAAGCGAGATCGGTGAGCTGCGGGATGACGCCGTCGATTCGGCCGGAAAGGCCGTTGCTTGACACAGCGAGGTAGCGGATTGATAGGGGAAGAGCGGGGAGTTCGCCGGAGAGATTGTTGTGCTTGACGTCGAGTCGGAGTAGAGGAGAAGATGAGGGGAAAGATGGGATCTTTCCGTAGAGATGGTTGTGGCAGAGGACCAGGTTGGAAAGCGCCGGAAGAGAGGAGATCGACGGAGGGATCTCGCCGGAGAGGATGTTGAAGCTGAAATCAATGGTTCGGAGGTGGCGGAGGGAGGCGAAAGAGGGAGGGATGGGGCCTGATAGGAAATTTCCACTGAGTGCGAGAAAGCGAAGGGAGGAGCAGAGTGAGATGGAGTCTGGTATTTGGCCGATGACACGGCCTGGGACGAGGGAGAGCTCTGATAAGGCGGAGAGACGGCCAATGGCAGGGTCGAGGCGCCCAGTGAGGCCTGGGGTGCCGGCGCGGGGATCGCCGAGGGCGAGCGCAACGACTTGGTCTCCAGCACAGAAGACGCCTGGGAAGCTGCATGGGTCACCGGTGAAGTCCCACTGTGAGAAGAAATCCGAGCCCGGTAAGTCTGACAGAGATTTACGGATCGATTGGAGCGCCACGAAATCGACCGGGTCAAGAACCGCTGCTGCTGGTGATCGAACCAGGACGAACAGAGACAATATGAGAAAAACGCTCAACCTTGTCACCATTGAGTTTCCTCTGGTTCTTCTCGTTGGTGATGATCCAGAAAAGCCAAACCTCGTTAAATAAATGAATGCGCAAAGAAAACGAGAGTGAGTGAAAGCCATAGCGAGCGAGAACGAGGGAGAGAGAGAGAGAGCTACCGCAAAGCCGCAAACAAAGAGCTCTGCTTTCAGCTTTTTAGTGGGAAATGCGTGAACGCTTTAATGGCGGGCAGTCAGTTGAGAGAGTGAGTGAGTACTGAGTAGAGAAGAAGCTACTTCGCTGTTCTGCTTCTTGGCTGCAAACTGATCTAGAAAGCGAATGATTTCTGCGTAAAGAAGAAGGCGGCATAAGCACTCTGCGTCCTTCCAAGTTTTATGGCTTCCACTATGCCATGGATCTCTGTTTTGATTTGGATGTTTTTCACTGTGTTTTATTTATTTTATATTTTTATTGGCTTGGGTTAGCTTCGGTGTGGCAAACGGTTGTCCGAGCCTGAGGCTTTCATGACAACTTCGAACACGAAGCGACGTGGCAAACCTGAAGGAGTAGGCGGGCCAGTATAGTGACACGTGGAGGTTAGCCGGTTCCCCTTTCTGCTTTGTTGCGCTTGCGCTAATTCTTTTTGTTTGTTTCCAGTCCGAAAAGAGGATTTTAATGACCGGTTATTATTATTGAGAAGAAGGGAATGAAGGGCGAAAGCGTGGGCCTCGTCGCTGAAGGCAACGGTCATTTCTTTCTCACGTTAATTGGTGAGAAGTGCAGACAAAACCGGTTAAGTCATGAGAGAGTATATATATATTATGATTAATTTTAAATTTATTACATTTATTTTGAGATCATATAAATAATTATTTTATTTTCCAAACTAAAATTTATGACTTCTGAGATTGATGGTTGATACATCATCAAAAAATTATATTTGATCGGGCACGAATCTCAAGGTAAAATCAAGTTGAAAACATCAAAAATTAAATTCGAGATCATATGAATTTTGATTTTAGCAAACTTACAGTCAATCTGAGCGTCAAACATGAACACAACTACATCAAAATCAACTCAATTCGAGCCCAAATGGCTCCAAATCAAAGACCTGAAGCACTGTTGGAAGATTCAAACAACAATTTAGATTACTAAATTGTTTCCAAACATGACATTCTTATAGTCGAATCGAGCGGCTTAACAAGACGAATCCAACGAACCCAAGATAATGGAATTCCGACATCATTAAGACCTTCAAATGGCTAGCAAACAATCCACGATCAAGGGATTCAACATCGGGCTTCCATCCAAATCACTCCCCATTTACCCTTAATTTTTCTCTTATTTACGTGTTATGCCACTCTTAAAAATTTATAAATAGAGCCCATCCTTCCTCTTAAAAGGGGTGACCCAAGAAAGAGGGCAATAGAGAGATTGAAGATCGCTCTTGCCTCCTCGCTCCTCCTCGACCACTGCCCGGACATATGTTGGACCACCACATGGCGTCAGAGTTCTGTCGGACCACTGCCTGACGTCGGACTTCCGTCGGACCACTACTCGACGTCGGAGTTTTGTCAGACCACTAGTTGACGCCAAATTTTTTTCCAAACCACCGCCAGGCCACCAACTGAGGCCCAAACTTTTTTAGAACCACCGACAGAAGTTGCAGTTCCGCCAGACCACCAAATAACGTCCAAACTTTCACCGGACCACCGCCTTACAACTATGGTCTTTCTGACCCCTATCGCATGCCTACTACGATCCTTTTGACCTCTGTCGTCTACTACAGTCCTTCCGACCTCCATTGCCAGACAACATTCTTTCTGATCATTGTCTCATGCCGACTACGGTCCTTCCGACCTCCATTGCATACTACAACCCTTCTAAACTCCACCATCAAACAATGATCTTTTTTACCCCTGTCTCCTACCGACTATGGTCCTTCCAAGTTCCGACCTCTGTCACCTACTACTATCCTTTCAACTTCCATCGCTAGACAACAATCTTTCTGACCCCTATCCTCTACCGACTATGGTACTTCTGACCTCCATAGCCTACTATGGTCCGACTTCCGTCGTCAACTACAGTCCTTCCGACCTCCATCTCTAGACAATAGTCTTTCTAGCCCTGTCTCCTGCTGACAATGGGTCCTTCCGATACTGTCACCAGATAACGGTCTTTCCGACCTTCATCGCTTATCGACTATGGTTATGCCAACTAAATGAAAATTTCAATACTAATTCTTTCAATTCCCACCATGTAATATGATGTGCATTTCCTACATCAGCCTAAGGCTTTCCTCCAATAAAGGGCCTCATTTATAATCGATTGCAAATAATAGTGGATTCATTCAAATTGGGTCAGACATCATGATTTTTTCTCATTTTTAGGGGTTTTCACATAAAAACTCTGGCGTCTCTTATGAATTTTACACCCTCTCATTTTATTTGCTTGTGTGCTGGATATTCGTACGAAGCTAAGACATTAAATTTTATATTTCTCTACCGCCGCGAATATTCTATGACGCAACAACCATTTTTTGAGATATATCTATATGACACAAACATTTATTGAATTAATGTCTTATTTGTTGTAATAGAATTATTTTAGGGTCATTTATATACATAAATTGACCATTTTTTTTGTTGTGTATTTTTCACAAATATTATTAATATCAATCATATAGGTATTTTTATAGGGAAACCCTTCTTTAAGAATTTTTTATTAAGCTCAAGAAAATATGAAGATGATGAAACAAATTTAATTTTAAAGCATTTATCATGTTGTTGTATAATATATAGTTTATTATATTTTAGACCATCTTTTTACCGACATTTTCAATACAAATTATCTTTTTAGTGGTATTTCCACCACTAGTTACTGTGCTTCCATCCATCGGTGCTATTGCTATAAATTATATTTTCTCTCCAGCTTGGTATCATAAATCTCAACATATACAAGGAGGTAAAATAAGAGATGTTATAACAAGAGAAAATGAAGAATAGTGCATCAACTTTAGGAGTGATTATTCTGTCAGGTTATCGAATGCATCCGAAAATCAATAACAAAATGTCACGTCATTAAAGTGCTCGGTACCGTGCTCGGTACAGAGCCCTCGGTACACTCGATATGCTCGGTATTGCTCCGTATTTTCACCGGACATAATAAAAATTCCAACTTTAGGCTTTATGAACCTGAAAATAAACAAGAACGGACAAAATTAATTGTACTATGTGCGAGGTGCCTACTTAAGGCTATAAAGACATTTTCTTTGTTTGAACACATAAATGGGTGATTTGGGTCTTGGAAATGTAGAGGTAGTTGCATCTTGACATTTTCAACTAGATGTTCATGAAGAAATGCATTTTTGATGTCTTATTGGCGTAGTGGTCAAGAGAGGGCATGGCATGGGCCGCTACTGGTTAGTATTAGAGAGAAGGAAAACGAGAGGTTAAGGCCTCGTTTGTTTCGGCATTTTTTTACCTTTTTTATTTAGAAACGACAAATTTATTTTTTGGTCGCTGTTTGGATAGGACGCTTCTATAGAAATGCTTTTTAGGGAACTCCATTTTTCTACTGTTTTGAGAAGCTTTTTGCTATTCACTTTTTCGTTAGAAATTTTCATTTTCTTAACCAATGCTTCTAAAACTATCTTTTACAAAATGAGAGGAAGAACCAAACGAAGCCTAAGAGCATCTCCAACCGAACGCCAAATGTGAGTATGACGTCCTTCAGTCGCTCCAGTTGAACGCCAAATGCTTCGCCATTTACTTGCGGGTGAACAGTGCGACGTCAATATTGGCGTTGCACTGTTCACCCATGCTATTTTGCTCTCTCAACCGGATTTGACGAAAAAACGTGCGAAAGGGGAGAATGATCGTTACCTTCGCAAAAGCATCTAAAATGGAGTTCGATTAGAGCAGAATTACGGCATTTTGGAAATTTGCTGTATTTTGCCATGAAAAAATGGAGTTCGCAGTTGGAGATGCCTAAGTAGATGTTTAACAAGCGACCATTAATGCTCTAAGATAATGTATAAAGTGAGGAATAAGACATGTATTGACACCTATTGCAATTGTCTTTCTGCTATGGAGTACTAAGAAAGAACAATCACATTAAGAAAAATTTCTAATTGTTGTGACTGTCATATTTTATCAGACCTAAATATAAAAAACAATCTCTCCCTACATAAATTTTTTAAGAAAAAAAAAACACTATATTGTCAAAGAAAAGTGTTGAAGTAATACAGCTAAAATAAAGTTTTCTCAAATGAAATATTTGTAACAATAGCTAGATTATTTATAAAATGAATGCACTAAACCGTTTGATTTTGCTGATCAGATCGCGAAGTAGTTCTCAAATTGATTGATTCGATTAAAAAAAAAAAGATTTAAACGGAATTGAAATGTAAAAATGAACTTTGCAATTCTTTAAACCAGTGAAAATATTTAATGAAAAATTTTAAAAGATATTGATAAATGTAATATTTTTTGAACTTGTTATATATATAACAAAAAATTTATCTTGATCGGGCACGAATCTCGATGCAAAAATCAAATCAGAAACTTCAAAAATTAAATCCGGGATTATCTGAACTCCAATTTCAGCAAACTTTTTAGTCAAACTGAGCGCCTCGGTAATATGAGCCCAACGACACCAATTCGACTCAATCTAAGCCCAAATGAGTCCAAATTAAGGACCCGAAGCGCTGTTGGAAGCTTTGTACCACAGTTTGAGTTACCAAACGATTTCCAAATATGACGATCTTATAATCGAATAGAGTGGCTCAACGAGACGAATCCAACGAGCCCAAGATCACCGAATTCCAAAGTCATTAAGACCTCCAAATGTTTGACGAACGGTACACAATCAAGGGATTCAATATCGGCTGTCCATCCAACCACTCCACATTTACCCTTGATCTCTCGCCTAATTACGGGTCATGCCACTCCATAAAATCTATAAATAGACCCCTCATTTCTCTTGAAAGGGGATCCAAGCAAGAAGAGAAGAGAAGGAATATAAGGAAGAAAAGGAAGAAGCTCATCCTCGACCATCGCCAGAGTTTTGTCAGACCACCGTCGGACCACCACATGAGGCCCTGACCTTCGACGGACCACCACCTGAGGCCCTCGCCTTCGTCGGATCATCACCTAAGGCCTGAAGTTCTGTTAAACCACTACCTGAAGCCCAAAGTCTTGCCGGTTCAACACCTGATACCCGGACTTCTGTGGTGCATTCATTACTTGTAATCTGATCGTCCTTGGAGGCGAGTCAGCCAATTGTAACCAACTCAAGTTCTAGTGGAATCATTTTCAACTGGGTCATGACTCGTGATTTTTTCCTTTTTTCAGGACTTTCCACATAAAAATATTGTGTTTTATATGTATATGAACAGTGAACTGGATATCCGTACAGCACTAAGACGTAGTATTCTAATTCTATCGTTGCGTATATTCTAGCCTGCAACAATATATATATATATATATAATTTTATGTCATTAAAAATTATTTTAATTATTTTTTTAATAAAATTTATTACAAATTTAACAGATTCCTTCACTAGTTATTAGGACACACTTCTTCGGCCAAATCCAATAAAATCGACAAACTACAGGATTTAATAAATTTGGGGTTTACCGCAAAAAGAGGGAAGAGGATTTATTTCGTCGTGAGATTTACGGGGCGCTCAAATCCCGTTAGCATAAATCCTGTTGCCAAACAGCCCCTACGAGAGTGTCTGGTATCAGATTACATTTAAGTTTAGTAGGATTTAGTAAATCATGTAAATTAGAATTTAATTAGCAAATCGCTGATAAATCCTAAAAAAATATTTGGTATGATAAATATTAAATCCTATTAAATTCTAAGAAGATGTTTGGTAATATGTAGTTAGATATTTAAATTATATGATTATCAAGATTATTACAGTCAAATTACTCATTAATTATTATTTACACTATTAATTAAAATATTTAGTGATATATATTTTAAGTTATATTAAATAAAATTAATAATATTATTTTAAATTATTAAATTATTAATTATTCAATTAAGTTAAATTAGATAATTATTTTATGCACTAATTATATCATTAATTTATTCAATTATTATTATTTTAAATTATATTAATTAAGTTAGCAGTGATAACTTAAGAGGCCCGTAGGGTTTGCCTTTCATCTTCTCTTTTCGTCGTTGCTGGTCGGCTTCGTTGCTTCGCAGGAGGTGTATGGATTGCACGCATCGATTCTTCGGCTCCTTCGTGGCTGTTCGACTTCGCTCCTTCGACGACTTTCCCTTCTTGTCGGATCGGAAGTTAGGAAATTTTTTATCGGATGCAACAACGGGAGCTTGCTGGCTTTGAAGGTAACTTTCTCCCTTTCGCGATCTTCTCCGGCCAAATCCCGTAAATATCGTTAAATCCGGGAAAGGATGGGATTAGGATTTACAGGGATTTATCGGAATTTATGCCGTAAATCCCGGATTTACGGATTCGCAGGATTTACAGATTCGCGGAATGCGTTCCTACTTAAAACTACAGCTAAATCCGATACCAAACACCCCCGGGTGCTGAGGACGGTCGTGCCTCGGCATTTCGCCGCTGTTGAGGAACATCGTTAGCTGGTTTTTCTTTGTCATTCGGTGGTGGCTTAGAAGCTCGCGCCGCTACTTTGCGGTGTCTTTGTATTCCGGCCGAATTAAACGAAATTTCTTTCTTGGGCGGTCCGGAGGGTTTTTGACAGAGTCTCTTACGACGTTGTTCAGGCTAAAGAATTCTCTTTCTTGGGAGGTTTTTGTATTCAGGCTAAAGAAGCTTCTTCGCCTCCTTCGAGGACGTTGTTCTTGTCAGAACGGAAGTCACGTCTGGAGCTCGCCGCTAAGGTAACAAGCTTTTTCTCTCCTTTCGCGCGCTTCCTTGGATAAATCCTCTAAATACGCCGAACTATGGGATTTACCAAAATTTATCTCGGATGCAAGTTGCCGTGGGATTTAAAATGCCTTTTTTTTTTCGTTTGGCCAGATTTAAAAATCCCGCTCAAATCCTGCTACCAAATAGTCCCTGCCATGTCGTTTTCTAGCTTCGGCAAGAGTTCTGGTCCCTCCATTCCACCGGCTACCCAGACGACGTTTGGAAGTGTCCCTGCATTTTCCTGGAGTGCTCCGAATTCTAACCCTAACAACCCGACGGCTACTGCGGCCATCCAAAATGTACGGCAGCATCAAGTGATTTCTCCTCGGACTGAAACGTGAGTTTATAATAGGCTGTTGTTTTGTTTATTTTTGGAACTTTGCTTTTGTTAAACTCATTCAGACTTCGAGATTGGCTGCAGTCTGCAGAAAGTGTTCTGTAAAGAACCACTCTTCGAATAGAACATTCCTCGTTGGAAGACGTGTTTCTTGATGCCCATTTTTTTCTTAGAATTGGAACATCAGGATTTTGTGTGATAAGGGCTCATTTGGTTGCTCGTGAATGGAAAACATGTTTTAGAAAGTGAGGATTTTGTTTTCACTCATTTAGTGTGTGAAGGTGAAATCCTCACTTTGGAGAGAGCTATGAGAACGGTTGTAGAGTTTGTTGTCAAAATCTAATTACATTCAGTCAAATGATGGATTTAACAAACTTTATTTTTTTCCAATGCATAATTTCTAACTTAAGCAACCAAATGATCCCTAATATGCTTCTTCTACTTGTCTTGACTTGAAAGGAGAATTATCACATGTACTTGCGGATTTTACATTTTACTTGAATTATATGAGCGGAACCAGGAACTAATTATAAGCTGTTAATATGAGTCGGTGAATCTTGACTAGTATGTGTTTTTCTAGTCAATAACATGTTCAGGAAAAATTAGTTTTCACATGGAAACTTTTATTTCAGTTTCTTTTTTCTGCTTGTTGCGACTTTATGATACTGATGCTAATGGCTTGGAGATTCCAGATGTGCTATGGATCATGGTCTAAAATTCAGTATTGGTGGTTTTTGGGTGAATTTTTTGAATGTTTGCTGTTAAATTTTCATAATTTTGTTTCCTCAAATCAACATTAGTATTTGGTGACTTTCCAAATACATTTTCTAGAACGTGATGACCTTTAAATTGACCTAGATTGTTGATGGCGCTTATGATGTAAAATTTTACCTCTTGGAGGAATATCAACCCAAAATATTTCAGAGAATAATAAAATGTAATCTCCCAAATGGTTTCTAAAGTTAGTTAATAATTTCAGCTTTCTTTAGATGGTCTTGGCTATGCACTGCGACCAGTATCATGCTAGTTAGCTGGCCTATTTAATGCATCTGGGACAGAGGGTTGTTAAAGTGCTAGTATGTTTAATTTAGCAACGTTGTGTTGTTATTGTCATTTTCAGTTTGGTATGAAATTAGCTCATAACTACTCTAGGATGGATGGAGAGGCTGTTTTTTAATTTTTTTTAACCCATGGTTGTGATGCCATGAAGTTCGATCTCCTGGAATATAACTCTTTTGGTTTTCCATGTTTTCCGTACAAATTGAAATTGTGACATGCTGATTTTTGAGAAGAAATTAAGCTGAAAGCAGCTATCAAATAATGGTAGGGTGAGAGGAACAACTAGATAAGATGAACAATATGGATCATCTGGATGAGGAGCTCTTAACAGGTCTGATCACCCTGACGTAAAATTTTTACTACAAATACGCATGCCATTTTGTTGATCCATACTACTTAGGATGGCGATTTTATATTATCTAAAGAAAGGATTCATGTAGCCGACCCCACGTAGTGGGAAAAAGGCTTGTTGTTGTTGTTGAAGAAAGGATCAAAGTTTGGAAATTGCTTGTACTAGTATTCTACTTTGATATGCATATATGTGATGTTTCCAAGTACGTGAATCTGTGAGTGATATGCTGTTTGTTGAATAAGTTGTCATCTATTAAGTTAGACAATACTTTCTGTATTTTGAATATGAAAATTATAAGGTTAGGATGTTCAATTTTGTACTTTTGTTGCAGGCCTGACAAGTCTGCTAGCTACAGTGATCCTTCAAAACTTTCATCTGAACTATCTTATCAGGCAAATAATCAATGGCTTTCTCCAATTGCATCTATTAGAACTTCAAATGGTGCCGGGACTAGTTTTTCAATGACACCTAGTAGCCATCATCTTTCCAACAACATTAGATCACCCTCTTGGTCATCTCTGAATAGTGGCTTTATTGATAATCATAGATCAAATTATTTTCCAGCAACAAGGTAAATTTCTTTTTTCTATTTTTTGATTTGGCTTACTCTTATTCATTGCAATGCATTTTGATACGGTAAATTATTGCTAGTTTGTTAAATTATTTATATGAATTCATGCTACATAATTATTGGCAAGCTTACTGTTCAATAATGAATTATGTTGTCTTTCTTCTTGCTTACTCTTTTACTCTTAGCCTTCCTCTCTCTCTCTCTCTCTCTCTTTCTAGGGGTGTGTGAATGATGTAGCATATGCTCTTTCTCCCTCTATGTCTCTCATGCTTGCTAGTGCACTTGTTCTCTTCCTTGTAGCACTCATGGGGAATGGGCAAGGGAGCAAAAGATAGAGAGGAAAGGATGGGGAGGAAGAAGGCTTGTCATTTCTCTCTCCCTCTTCTAGGCAAGAAGCCCTATGCAACGTAACACTATGCACTCTATCAAGTTACTTGTGTATAGAGAGAGAGAGAACATTGTGCACCCTATCGAGTTACTTTTGTGTAGAGATAGAGATAGAGAGGGAGAGAGGGAGAGAGGGAGGGAGGGAGGGAGGAGTAAATAACCATCTTCCTCTGATTAAAATGTGTGGCATATGCTCTCTCCCTCCCTTTGTTTCTTTTTTTCTTGACCAAGATAGCATAGGCGAAGTAAAAACATATATAGATGGATAGGGAGAATTATATCACCAGTGAGAGAGAGAGACCTTGATGAGTGAAGAACAATCCCTGTTGGAGTTTAGCATTTGCTCTCTCCCTCCTCTGCCTCATTTTTCATTGCACAGAGTTGCATAGATGAGGCAACGGTGTATGTATGTATATGTATATATAGATAAATTGATAGAGAGAGAGAGAGAGAGACTTTTTTTCTCTCTTTTTCTATCTATAATAAGAATAAGAAGTTAGCACTTTGCATCACATCATGGTTTATTACTTACATATATGATTAAGTACCGCTTCAAGTTGATTAAGAGTATGCTTATGGATATTTTAAAGACATATTTTGATTGATAAACTATTGTTATTTGTGGTTAAGTTGAATTAATATTTTTCCAAAATAAACAACCTACAAAACTTTATTTTGTCCTACACAGACTAGCTTGAATAACTAGAAAAAAAATTTCAGTATGCATTGAGATATAAAGGATGAATAAACCATTGCAATTCTATAGTATGCAACACCATGAGAAATGATTACGGCATGAATTAAAGATTTTAGAGTTTTAAATATGAATTTTGCAAAAGTTAGATCTAAAATGCTAAGCACACTTGCAGTTGACTATAAGCAAATGATACATTAATATACTTTTGAAACAAAGAAAAAAACCTACTAATTAAGAGATTGAAAGGTTAATGAAGCCTAATCCTAGAAGCATAGAAGTTGCTAGTTTTGAGATCATTTATTCATATTGTGTCCTTGAAATTGTTGCTTAATCTAGATCTTCATTCTTTAGAATTCTTTAAATTCGGCAAATTCGTATAAGCATGTTCCTTTTCGTGAGGGAAGATGTACTATTCTGTGCTTGAAAATATTATTATCCTACAGGATTGGTCAGGGCTTCTACACTTATTCCTACTTTTTGAAATGGACTGAATGCGGGCCTTGGATTTGCGTATCCCAATTGAGGACAAATGGAAAGGTAAGCTCAATAAGATGGAAAAAGTGAAAGGATGGATTAAACAAAATGAGGGTAGAATAATCAAGGTAGCTAGTTGCAAGCATTTTTGATCTTGCTTGAGCTTCACTTACTAATAAAGATGTAACATTTATGAATGGTAAATTTTAATTCATTAGAAAGAGTTTTACTTTCAAAAAACATGTCTGAAAATAGTAGAGGATGACCGTTCTATGCTTGGGCTTAGTGCTTTTAAAGAACCCCTAAGATTATCCAAACCTTAGGTGATATGGTCATGAAATTGTGCTGCTTGAATCATTAACCAATGGATAATATCACATATTACATTAATATAGCATTTGGTCATGTGTAGACTTATTACACGTTAGACTCAATGTTCCAACATAGCATTTTTTCAGTTCATGCTGCGAAAGGTTAATATTATTGTTCATGTTTTTTATCTTCCAGTGGAACATAAGATATGTTCAAAGACTAAGAGCCATTCACTTTTTAAAGAAGTTTTAAATTGGTTTTTGTTACGTAAAATACATGCAACCACTAAATGTATACCAATTTCCAAGTTATACGGCAAAATGATGCATATTAATTTTCACCACTGCTCACTATGATTCAACTCAAATGTTTTGTGTTTCTTTGGACAACTGTGGACTTGGAGCTCTAATCTCAGAAATTTATCTTGTTTTTTGTTGATGATGCTAAATATCATCATATTACTTCTAAATTTTGCTTCTTGTTCCTATTGAAAGAATATAAATTTACCCATAGGACCAAAACCAATTAGCAGAAGCTTTTAGGTCAAGTGGTTACACAGTTTAACATATGAGTGGATTTAATTGAGCACCTTGTTTAACATGTAAATGAATATACGTTACCATTGTTTTTAAATCAGCATTTTGGTGGAATAATTTCCATATTATAATGCTTAGCGAAATGATAATTTCCATGTTAAACTTGCATTTGATTGCAACTTTTTTTTTAATATATTGTTTGCATAGGTGCACTAGCATATAGAAAGCTTGCATTTGTACTTGTATTATACATTTTCACACCCCTATGCTTTATTGCATGTATATATGTGTACATACTTAACGCATATTCCGTAACTCTGTATTCATTTGGAGTTTCATAATTCATGTGTTATTTCTCATTGTGCTTTTTTGAAGCATTATTGCTGTTGTACATTTTACTGTGGGCCTTCTTGTTCCAATTATCCAATCATGAAGCTACAATTAACTTACCTACAAAGGAATTTTTTGTGCATATTGTTAGACCAGTCCATTGGACCGGTCCAGGCTGTCCATACAGGACTGGTCTATGAACAGGTGGAACTCTCCGCCTCCTGCATATGTCGCGTGATCCGGTGCCCAGACAGAGCGGTTTAGGAAGGTTTTTGAAGGGAGTTAGGAGGGAAGTTTGAATGTAGGGAATGTTTAGAGTTTTTTTTGGATTGTATGCATTAATTGTTTGTTTTCCTAGGATTAGGGCATCTTTAATTTGGCTGAAATTTGAGATCTCTTAGGTTTAGGTTTTTGGGCTCTAGCGGCGTCTAGAGATTTGGGAGAGAGATCATTTTCTCGAATAGAGGATCAATTGTATCTTGTTATTTTTCTTCCGTTGGTTTGGTTATCGCAATAAAATTACTGCTTTCTGATTTTTCCTTTGGATTTGTGGATTGTTCTCGCTGTTTTCATCAAGATAGTTAGATTTTACTTGGGAATTCTAAGTATTTCGTAACACATCACTTCCAATCTTTTAAGATGCACTTTTTCTATGCTTTTTTTATCAGATTGATTAAATGCTAACTTTTAGGTAAACTATATTACAAGATATTCTTCCTTATTTCTGTTTGTAGATCCGGAGCACATACTGAAATGCTCTTGAAAAATGCTAATGATGAAGTTCCCAATATGAAGTCTGTGCTTGTGAACTTTGAAAGCAGTTCGTCAGTTCAAGCAATATTTTCAGATAAGGAAGTTGAGCGGTTTGCTATCTAAACCTTGCTCTTATTTGAAGTTGATTTCTTCATATTTTAACTTGTCTGATTGATTTCTACTTGGATACCCATCCAAAAACTTTACATGTCCACATCTTATCTTTACTCTGCTGTTGTTTTACTTGCATCTATATAAATCTGTTGATTCTGTACTGAATTTTATTTGGTTTGTTTTTCCAGGCCTGATTCATCCCCTATTAGACTGGCTAGACACAGAATGTCTCCACTCCACGGGGGCCCTTCTTCACAAAATATGCTTGAGCATGGTGAGTGTCAGCCTGATGCACAAAATGTTGTAACTATTATGCCAGCAAAACCTGCCAACCTTGTTGCATCTAAAAGGGCCCGGTCTCCTCCTATATCAGTTGAGAAAGCTTTACATTCATCATCTATTGTACCTGATTCAGAGAGGTAAACTGTGTTTTCATCATATGATGTTGCGTACTGTGCTATATCATACTCAGTGTGGTAAGCTTTCTTTCTAAAGTAGGCCTTATCTGCAGGGAAATGCAAGCAAAGGCAAAGCGATTAGCTCGCTTCAAGACTGAGTTAACCCAGCCATTACAGAATCTGCGGGATATCTCAAGTCATAAACCTTCTGAAAATAGGCAAAACCATGTACCTTTAGTCCTGCAAAAAGCTGATGAAACTGCTGAAAATGCAACTTATGGGGTTAGCTGTTCTGATCATGAAGGTGCTGAATCATCGAAAGCTGTGATGGGTCTGTGCCCAGATATGTGTCCAGGTGCTGATATGTTCTGCATTTTTGGCCAGCTAATGTGATTTATTTTTCTGATTCAACAATATTTACCAAACAATTGAGACCCATATGTAGCATATTCATTCATTTCACCATACTACAGATTTGGAGAGGGATGAGCGTGAAAGAAAGGGAGATCTTGATAAGTATGAGCGCTTGAATGGTGATAGAAACCAAACAACAAAATTTCTTGCTGTTAAAAAAGTAGGGTTTCAGTAGGCTCCATCTTGCTTTTCAGATTGTTTATTGATCAAAATCTGTCTTTCATCATTACACAGCACCAACAGGAAGCATAATGGAAATTCTTATCTGAATTATACAGTATAATAGGATGGCTGAGCGTGAAGCTAAGTTGATAAGGCCCATGCCTGTCCTGCAGAAGACGGTTGATTATCTCCTAAGTTTATTGGATCAGCCTTATGATGGCAATTTTCTTAGTATTTACAACTTCTTGTGGGATAGAATGCGTGCAGTACGGATGGATCTCAGGATGCAACATATTTTCAATGAAGATGCTATTCTCATGCTAGAACAAATGGTATTCTCTCTTGTAGATGAACTACCTTCACCATTGGGCTTCATGATATCATTTTTTTTTTCATTGTGGTCACAGATAAGGCTTCATGTAATTGCTATGCATGAATTATGTGAATTCGAGAAAAGCGAGGGTTTCACAGAGGGTTTTGATGCACACCTCAATATTGAGCAAATGAATAAAACCTCTGTTGAGTTATTTCAACTGTATGATGACCATAGGAAGCGGGGGAAATGTTTTGCATCAGAAAAAGAATTCAGGGGATACTATGCACTTCTCAAGTTAGATAAGCATCCTGGTTACAAAGTGAGTGATTTCTTGTTTGGTCGGAGACGTGCAAGATGATCCATATTTTAATATATAGTTTCTTTGTTTTAGGTGGAACCTGCAGAGCTCTCACTTGATCTTGCGAAGATGACTCCTGAGATACGAAGTACCACTGAAATTTTATTTGCTCGAGATGTTGCAAGGTTTCTATCAGTTCATTGCTTGCCCACTACCTGATAGTGTTGAATGTAATTGCTAATTCCAACAAAACCTTCTTTTTATCGTTTCAGTGCTTGTAGGATTGGCAACTATATTGCATTTTTTAGGCTTGCTAGAAAAGCAACGTATCTTCAGTCATGCCTAATGCATGCTCATTTTTCTAAGGTATATTCCCCTTCCCTTGGATGCTACTTTAACGAGCATACTATGACTAAGATTTATATTTGCTAGATATTATGGATTCACCAACTTATTTCCTATTTTGATTTTATCTTTTTATCCTGTGTTAAGTTTTCTAGAGGTATATTTTAATTTATCAACTTGTGTGTTTTAGAAGTGATAAGTTTTCCTGGCATTGGCTATCCTTTTTCTCGAGTAATGCTTTGGAAGATTTTAGTTAAGGATACACAAACCCATATGATTAACTTGAGAGAATCAATTCAGGTTATTTGGCTTGGTTTCGCTTATTATCTTTGATACAGGCTTGTGAAAATATATTATTGCATATGCATGACTATCATTCCAAAACATCCAGCACAAACATTATTTGCTAACCCAACTTGCTGCATGGCAAGCATATTTTTGCAGTATGAGATGTATGCTTCCACTTATAAATCTAGTCATTATTTATGACATTTCATTGTGCTATATCTATGTCATCATCCTTTTCTTCATTTTAATATTTATCTGAGGTGAGGTAGTAAATTGACATTTGGACATGCTCGTCATTATTTTAATTATCAGTAGAGTTATATTGCCAATGAAAAGCTTGTTGCTTTTATTATAACCAGTAAGCCTGAAGTTATAATTGGAGGTATTTGGCTACATGATAAAGATAAGGCCTTTATTTGGCTTCCTCTCTAGGGATTGATTCCTCTTTTAGGCTTTTTCTTGCTCTTTTCACCTTTTGTCTCTCCATTCAAAGCATTCGTTCTTTTGATCTTAGCTACATCCTTTTTAAACCTTAATTATTCTTGTATGATGGATTGTTCTCTTTTAAACAAATAATGTAACAAAGTTCTGCCATATTTTTTCTCTTATGCTTTGTTGCTTTGTATCAATTGGCTTTAGAGTTGGGTTTTAAATATAAGAAATTAAGGTTTATTTTAATTTTTTCATATTTAATGAGATAATGGAAACATGTTCTCCTCATTTTTATTGTATATTTTCTCCCAAAACATATCTATACACACATTTCTTCATACCCTAGCTAATTTTCCTTAACCAAACCCAACATAAATCCTCATTTATATCCCCAAAATCGTTATCTAACTCTTTTTTAAGTTGCTAATTAGTTGGATATTTTTCAAATACTTTCATTTTATAAACGCATCAGGTATTTAGTTGAATGCAAATTAAATGCTTTAATATATTTTTTAGTGTTTCTTATGATTCATTTTAAATATTTTGAAATGCAATTAATGCTGTCCATGTGTCATGATCTAGCCCAAGTATTTAGAATATCAATTAAGAAATAACTGTCGGACCATAGTTAAATTTGTTTCAACCAACAATTAAAACATTCCAATAAAATATCTTCCCAATTTATAAAGAGCTAACAATTATTCACCATAATTTAAATAATCTATATTTCAAGTACACTCTAAAGATTTCAAAGCAATTGAGCTGAAATCAAATGCATAGAATCATTAAATATCTATTATCATTTACCCTTTCTCTTTTGTATACAAAATCTTCTGTGTTAGTCATTTAATCTGCAGGAGCCTTACTTGAAACATTTCATTTATAATGGGTTGAGTTCATACAATAATGTTATGGCTGATTACAATTCAATAATATAATACTGTAAAAATAAATGGAAAAAAATAAAAAATAGTATGCATGTGAGTGATCTTAAATAATCATTAAATATTTTATTTATGAGAATTTAGATAGGCATACTTGATAAGATAACTACAACATCAAATTATTAAAGATAACATTTTGTAATGTATATGGCAAGTCATATCTATTGATATAATAACCGTCTTGGGAGCCTCATCTAAATTTTGCTCCAATTAAGGCACAATCATTTCCATTTATATTTCATTTTCTTTAATTTTTTCATTTCATGTGCACGAGTATGTTGCGCCCCCAACCATTACCATAAGGAGGTGAATTCCTTCATTTCATCGTGTACATACATTTTTTTTCTTTCATTCCCCCATTATCATGTATGAACAGGTGCTTTTAAAATTCATGTAATTGAAATAAAATGCCTTTCAGCTCATATCATTACAATATGAAAATATTTGGATGGAAATGACACATTCTTTAATAATTAAATGATAACATTAACATATGGAGGTATATGAGTGTCATTACATCAAGTTAGAAAAAAGAACTATAAATTGCCAAAAATAAAATTGTAATCATCCACCTCAATTTAATTTGGAAGATCAATTCTTTCATTTCAAGGTTACTTCAAGTTGGATCAAACTTCGTTAATTTTTCTTTAATTCACAACCTATGCATCATGTACACATTCATATTAATTTCCTTGCTTAAATTCATTATAATTTCTTAAAATTTAATTCAAACTAGCATTTACATTTAAGTTTAATGATTGAGTTAATGATAATAAAAAAAAAATCAAATTTGGGGTTTAATCACAAGAAAATTGAGCTTTAACTTTTCCTGTGGATAACTATTTAGCAGAGCCAGCATACCTTTAGGTAGGCATAATGGCTATCACTACCATTTACGTGAGAGTAGTATCATCAATATTTTGATGAACCCTAATATTGATCTTTTTTACATCCCTAAAGAAATAATTATCTTAACATTGATGATAGCATCACCAGAAGTTTAAGAAGTGTAAAAATTGATTCCTCTACTTTTGATGAACTTTGAGATTCCAAACTACTTTTGAACGGGATCGTTCACATGGATATTTAATTCAATTGGATTATTATGTCAGAAGATTGGTAAGTGAAGTTTCATTGAATGAATCTTGTAGCTCATGAAAGAAATAATTATTCATTTAGTAGACCTGGTTGGCAATTTCAAAGGTTTGGAGGAATTATTTAAACAAAAGTATCTTTCTTTAGCATTTCATGATTAACTTTTGTAAATATTGACCGCACTTTGACAAGGCTTGATGCTAGTTATTGAGTATATGGCTCATTTTGATAAATTAATGATTCGATTTGATATAATGGAAGTCCTAGGGCCACCATTACTAAATTTAATTTTGGACTGTGTCTTGACATACATAAAAAAATGTGTATTTGAGATAGTTATACCCTTAAAAATGGATTTCAATGAGCCCTTCAAGTAAAGCAATATATTCACTCTTTAGACAAATCACAATTTAGTCTTTATTTGATTAACATGAAGATTAGAAGGATGATTTAGTTGAGTAGGACTCCTGTGATGAAATTACTTATGCCAGGAAAGCAAAGGATGACGCACACTGGGCTATAGTGTGATATGTTATGACTACTACTCGAGCCAAGACTAAGTAGAATGCACAAATATCTTTCACTCTAATTTAAAAAAGTGGTGAGAAGTCATGCAAACTTATCATTAACAATGCTAGTTGCATGAATGTTGTTTCTACTTTTGCCTTGGCTAGATTGAAGCTCATTATTGAGCCACATTCGTGGCCATATATGTTTGCTTGGCTTAGCAAGATTATAGAAAAGTGAAAATATTAAAAACTACTTTGAATTTTATTGCTTATTTTCTGTTTTTACATGCTTTTCCAAGGATACGTATGGAAAAAGGTAAATGCAATTTACACAAAATAAATAAATAATTCAAAAAAGGGGGGCTAACATCTATAGTTGTATGGGGAGGAGCATATGAATTGTAATCTAAGGTTTAAGTGGGAGAAAATCTAATGGATTAACTCCTTTATCTTATGAGGAGGAGCATATGAATTGTAATCTAAGCTTAAGAGAAATCCAATGGATCAGCACCTTATTCTGTTTGCTGAATAGGTCATATTATGATTTGCTGCATAGTGGGACCCATAGCTATTTTCTACCGAAGGTAGAAATTTGGATTGGGAGGATGTACAAAGGCGGCTGAGGAGTGAGTCCCATGGTGTGGGACCCCAAGATCTTCAACAAATTTGATTATGTCTAACATGCAAAGATGCATTATCCCATTATAGATGACCACCTACTCCACTTATATTATGTGTGTTGTTCTTCTTATAAATATTATTAAGAGAAAAAGATCAAAATGGTCCCTCAACTCTTTGTGAGGGACCAAAATGATCCCCAACTCTTTTGAGGGATTATCTCATATAACATGAATGTTGCATATTACTGCCAGTTTAACACATATGCCTTCAAGCTTTATATTAGAAACCAAAAGAGTTATCTGTCGCCATAAATTAAAGAAACTTTCATATTTTGAATCAATGAGAGTTTGCGCATAGTAACGAGGGTTGTAGCATTTATCTCTCGTTGTTTTTTTAAGTATCCAAAATTTTTTCTGAGTTTTCTAGTTTCTCAGCTGAAATTAGTCAACTTTTATTTGGGTTCCGGGATTTGTCCTTAGGAACTACCTAACATACATGTCAATGACACAAAATGGCGTGCGCCATGGTGCAGCGCGATGCACCCATTACCCCAGCTGCATGGCGCAACGCACATGTTCAAGTTGGTGTGTGCTATTTGCGCAATGGCGCATGGTGCGCAATTTGAATTTTTTGAATTTTTTGAATTTTTTAATATAATTATAAATAGTTTTTAATATTTATATATTTTAATTTCTAAAGTAATGTAATGATTAATTTTAATTTTTTTTTAATATGATTAAAATAGTTTAGTCGTTGTTAGGTCTTAAATACTGTATGAGAAAAGTGGAGGGATGTGTAAAACTTGTCAAATAATCATGATATGAGTCCTTTAAAAAATTATGTCAATGCTAGGGCGTCCCCTTGAAGCGACGCGCTGTATGGCCTGAATACAGCGACAAGTGTGCAAGAGCTGCTGCACCGGCGCCTAAGTGCAGTATTAAATAGGCAAGGGTTCCCACATCAAGGACGTATGTGGGCAAAGAAGCTAGTCAAGGAAATTAAAATTAGGATAGAAACTTGGAATATAGGTTCCCTTACACGAAAATTATTGAAATTAATAGATATTGTGATACATAGGAAGATAAATATTCTCCGCATTTAGAAAACTAAATGGGTTGGAGAGAAGGTTAAG